CTACTACGGGAATTACTGTTACAGGAGGCACACGACGGAGTTACCTCGGGACATTTCGGAGTAGAGAAAACACGGCAGCAGCTTCAGCGGTACTATTACTGGCCTGAAATGTTGACCGACGTGCAACGAGACGTGGCATCGTGTCCCACTTGCCAGCTCATGAAGTCAACCAGGAAGCGGCCGGCGGGACAATTACAACCAATCCCACCTCCAGAGCGTGCTTGGCAGCAAGTGACGATGGACTTCGTCACGGGGTTACCGGCCGGGGCGAGTGGGAATGACGCGATCCTGGTCGTCGTCGATCGACTGACGAAAATGGCACACTTCGCCCTACAAGAAAACAATCACAGCCGAGAAAACAGCCCGACTCTTCATCACCACCGTCGTTCGACTGCACGGGATACCAGCATCGGTCATCAGCGACAGAGACACGAAGTTTACCATCAATTTCTGGCGGAACCTGTGGCAGCAGTTCGGCACGCGACTACAATTCAGTTCATCGTATCACCCCGAAACCGACGGACAGACAGAACGGACAAACCAGACTATGGAGCAGCTCATTAGGGCCACGTGCGACGACCCAAACACGTGGGAGCAGCAGCTGCCACTCATCGAATTCGCATGCAACAACGCGCCATCCGCCACGATCCAACAGTCACCGTTTTACCTGAATTGCGGACAAGACCCCACAGTACCCATGACCCCAAATCCCGACAACCCCGTTCCACGTGCACAACAATTCGCCGAGATTTTGCAAGCAGCACGGACCAGGGCAGCAGAAGCAATCAAAAAATCGAACATCATCGCTAAACGCAACGCCGACCGCCACCGCAGACCTGTCACTTATCAGCCCGACGACCTCGTTTTACTCGACACTCAAAACCTCCGCCTGCCCATCACTCCCAAACTCCGCCCCCGATACTGTGGGCCATTTCGAATTAGCCACATGATCACACCTGTCACCGCGCACCTCCTCCTCTCTGCTGACTGGTACGTCAGCCCCTTGTTCCACGTCAGCCTGCTTCGCCCTTACGTACCATCCACAAGCCAACTCCCAGGAAATCACCCAGCCAGCATGACTCGTCCGCCAACCGAACCAATCATCACCCCCGACAAAATCCTGAGCCACAGAGTTCGCGACCCTCGAGGAGCCCGAAAGATCGAGTTCCTGATCCGCTGGAAAGACCGTACACCTACCGAGGACAACTGGGTTCCCCTGGACAGAATTGAAAACCACCCTGTCCTCACCGAATATCTGCGCAGCCGAAACTTCAAAGATGTCCACACGCTTTCGTAAGGAGGACCTCCTTAGGAGGGGGGGTAGTGTAAGGAAAATCCCTTTTCCTTACTTCGCATCCCTGCTCAACGTGTAGATCACTGTAGCACCTCAGTCAGCACCGTTACCACTCGTGATCATCGCATCGACAATCATCTCGCCATTTTCGCACATCGCATCCCGACCTCACGGCTCGGCTGGTAACCCGTGCTCCGGGCCTACGCTTCGACACTTTCCCAACCTCAGTCCCAGGCTCGTCGCGCGACTACCATAGACCATTACCGTTACCACTGTAGTTTCGCTATATATTCTTCGCTCATGCCTTCGCTCATTGGATTCTTGCTTCGATAGTGCAATTCTCGTTCGTTCACTCAATTGCACTCGTAAAAATGCACATGTTTTGCATTTATGTCGAGTTGGTGACGACCAATTGTTCTATTCGCCGTATTTATCGACGATTATGGAATGATAGGTCACATTTTTTTTTTAACTTTTTTGGAAACTCATGTGTATCAGTGCTGTCATCTCCACACATTTGAAACACTCGTTATCAAAACGTTAAAACGAGTGGTTCGGACGTTGGGAAAATGACAAAAATAGCACTGTTCATATGAGTCGACCGAAAAGTGCTACCAAATGTTAAGGGTTGCTACGCAACCCAAAAAAAGGCTTGAAACAAAACGGATAGTTCAGGCTGGTTTTACATGTAGTGATCTATATCTGAAATTAAAGTTTTGGCCAACGAATATTGCTCGCGCTATCAAGGGTGGAATATTGAACATTAGGGTTTATCTCTGGTTCGGGTCATAAGGCCACTTCGGGTCATCAGTACACGTGGGGTCATGGGAGGACCAATGGTATTCGAGTATTTTCACTAAAATGCGCCTTATTGGTCTTCCAAGAATCTCGGATGACCCGAACAGTGCATGACCCGAACCAAAGATACGCCCTTATTAATACAACAACCTCGCGATCACATCTTGAACAGTTGTACCATACATTATTTGTTCGAAAGATTCTTTCCCTTGCTGGGTCTGTCCGTACAAACCACCCCACACTTCCCGCTCCCCCCCATCCCCTTTCCCCGCCTTTGTCGGCCCCCAAGGTCCCCCCCACCCCACCCCTTCCCCCCAATCTTTCCACCCCTCTCCGCCCTTTTTCCCCCACACCAGTCAACCAAAGGCAGCACCACTTGGCAGTCGGCACGGCAATTTTAGGACCACTGCTTCCCCGTCAGCTATTGCTTGTGGGCATTGTTGAGTCAGCAAACATCCATCCAACCAAAAGCTGCCCGTATTACGTGGCAAGCACCTTTGGTGAACCATCGATTCGTCAGATCAGTCTGACACGAAACGTTATGTATGATCAAACCGAACTTTCGATTTCGTCCTATCTGTTTTGCTATGACTAGAACAGGGGAACAACATAAATCGACGGTCGGGTTAAAAACATTTTCCGTACAGTATTGATGGTCTTGCTGCAACACTTTCCTACACTAAAAGCCGGGTCAAACATGCCACAGGTTCGTGCTGGCTGGTTGACTCGGCTCTTTTTAGCAAGCTGAGTACGAGGGCTCTTTGTCCACCCTCATTCTCATTAGACTGGCATATGTTATACTGACTGGGACGCTTAGTGTAGCCGCAGCGGACCAAAGAAGGTCCTATCACATGCGTTATACTGACAGTTTGATCCAGGGCGTTTAGTCAAGGTTCTATACGTTCTAAAATGGTAATGTTTTTTTTCAAACGGTTAAGACAGTTATTCAGCTTTAACGGAATTTTACTGCCCAAGTCTGGTTTCGTCGCCTCGTGCGACTTGGCCCGCAACCGAGTTATCTCACCATCCCGCTACGTCCAAACACTGTAGCCACTGCTTCCGCTGGTGAGAAGACTGAGAATTAGGGTGTAGTGCCTGTATGCTTGGTATCGAAAGGTCAACGAGGGCGTTCGTTGAAATCAACCTTGTAAACTTTGTTGAGCACCAGACAAGATTTGAAGTACACTGGTGCTCAGCGTCGTTTACGAAGTACTTCGCTGTACAGCGTCGTTTAGACCAGCATTTATCCACTTGGCCAACGTCGTTCAGCCATACTTGAGCAGCAATACATGTGGTTCTCCAACGCTCTGACCAATACCTTCACTGCAATTTCCCTGCTGGACCTTCCCTTTCCCATTTTCCACCCTCGCACCCACATCCCTCTCCATTCTCTCTTTTTGAAGCGCATTCCATATTTTGACGGGTAAGTAACTTTGGAAAGGCTTACACTAGCGACCCTGTGCTCCGAGGGGGCCTACAGTGCAAGTAGAGGGCACTTTCCACCCCTCCGTGCCTCAGACAGGGAAGTTATAGAAACAGGACAGGGAAAATCCCCACATTCACCCACGTGTCAACAATTTCCATGCCACCTACTGTACTGGACATCTGACCACCTGTGCACAACAGATTTTTGTCCCCACTGCAAAATCGAATCCACAAACTGGGTGGCTCGGCTGCCACACTGTTCCGAAATCCGCTAGGCTACTGTTTCGCGCCCAGATTTTCGGAACGGCCATCAAGGCAGACGGAAACGAAAACGGAGTAGCTCTCCGTCAAATCTTTCGAGTGACTTTTCCCGTCAGGGGTTTCTGTCACACATAACAGAGTCGCGATTTTGTACATGGGCGATACAACAACACATATCACAGCTGATAAATTTATGTTTCATATTCAGAAATATGAATATTGAAATATGAGTTTAGGGTCTCGCAATTAGTTTAGGGTACTCAATCTTCTTAATGCACGAATGAAGCATATGGCAGTACAATTCAGACTTCGAAATCGTAATTTCAAATGTCAACCAACTTGATATGCATACTACAGTTTGTGGAGGAAGCGATGTGATTTGCGCTGAAACACACACACACACACACACACACACACTTACACACACACACACACACATACACACCCACATACACACACACACACACACACACACACACACACACACACACACACACACACACACACACACACACACACACACACACACACACACACACACACACACACACACACACACACACACACACATATTTCAATATTCATATTTCTGAATATGAAACATAAATTTATCAGCTGTGATATGTGTTGTTGTATCGCCCATGTACAAAATCGCGACTCTGTTATGTGTGACAGAAACCCCTGACGGGAAAAGTCACTCGAAAGATTTGACGGAGAGCTACTCCGTTTTCGTTTCCGTCTGCCTTGATGGCCGTTCCGAAAATCTGGGCGCGAAACAGTAGCCTAGCGGATTTCGGAACAGTGTGGCAGCCGAGCCACCCAGTTTGTGGATTCGATTCTGCAGTGGGGACAAAAATCTGTTGTGCACAGGTGGTCAGATGTCCAGTACAGTAGGTGGCATGGAAATTGTTGACACGTGGGTGAATGTGGGGATTTGCCCTGTCCTGTTTCTATAACTTCCCTGTCTGAGGCACGGAGGGGTGGAAAGTGCCCTCTACTTGCACTGTAGGCCCCCTCGGAGCACAGGGTCGCTAGTGTAAGCCCTTCCAAAGTTACTTACCCTATTTTGACCCTTGCAGTTGCAGGAAGAGCAGAAGGGGTCACTTCACTACAGTCCACTGCTGGTACGGTATCTTGTAGCACTGTACCCCCTTCTGTTTAGCCTGACGCCTTCCGCTACTGATACAAGACACTAGAGAACGAAGGACCTGGTAGCAAATCAATGGCGACGGGGGCAGAGGGCATTGGCGCAGGAGGCAACGCTTTCATCACGTCCCTAAATCCCGCCGCCCTTCACGCTTACGTGTGCGCCATGGAGAGCGGCATGATCGGCAATATCTGGTCACCCACAGCCGTCGGATCTTCCAATGTTCTATCCCCATCCGCTGCTCTCGTGACGCAGCCGAACCGCAGTAACCCTAACATTCACAGACCCGCTACTAATGCGCCATGCGGCAACAATGCTGATAACTCGAAATCGAAGAGGAGTCGCGCTCTCGTGCGACGCTGCGACTCCGCGTCGGCTGCGGAAGTGTCGCATGTGGACGTCGGCGTCCCAGAGCCTGGAGCCGCGCCGCCGTCCCTCGGCACGGCCGGCAGGACGAACAGCGAGGCGCCTCGAATCGTGACGCGGTCGCAGATCTCCCCGCCGCCGGCCCTGGGTACAACCGCTGCCGCCGGCGCCGGCAAGAGCAGGACGACGGCTCGGTCGCACAACCGGACGCGCTCCGTCAGCTGCATTCAGAGCAGCGGGCTCCAGTTCCACTTCCCCTTGTCGTTCGCGCAAGGCGCGCAAGTCGGCGCACATGGCGGAGCGGAAGGACGCGCAAAAGAGGCGATTACTTCTCCGCCAACTGGCTCTGCGCTCTCCGGCGCCGCAAACGACGGGAAGGTGAAACTCACCCGCGCTCTCACCGAGCGTAACGGCACGAGTGCCGGGAGTGGCGCGGGGAGTGGCGCGGGGAGCGGCGCAGGGAGTGGCGCGGGGAGTGGCGCGGAGAGTGGCGCGGCGGGGTCGCGGCGGGAGTTCACTCGCAGCCGAACCGCCTCAGAGCGAGTGGGTGACTTCGACACTCCTCTCTCTCCGCGAGCAACCACCCGCACCCGCAGCCGCAGCCCGATAAGCTTCGCGGCTTCCCCCGAAACGCAGCGCCCTCCACCTCTCGCCGCCCGCTCGAAACCGGATCCTGCGGCGGCCCCGCCAGCGCCCTCTTCCGCAGCTCGCCGTTTCCCCGATCTGTACCCAGATTGCGGCGATACCGATGGTAGCGCGCGCGACCCGTTCCGCAAGAGCGACTCGGATGCCTCCGTCGATGACCTATACCCCAGCTCAGGCGCTGTCTTTCCGCGATTTGCCTCCATCGGCGACGTTTCAAGCGCCGAGGACTCGGACACTGTCGGTGACTATAACGCAAATGGTTACGCAAAGGCCAAGAAAAACTTGCATCCGGCGTTATCCCGTCGCTCCCGCTCTGCGGGCTCTCAGTCAGCCGCCGCATTGGCCGCTAGCATGGGGGTCGATCGCGGGGGAGAGGTGTCGGGCGGAATCGCCGGATCGCGCACGGGACCGTCTGTGGTGCAGCTCGCGCCGCGGATGGGCTTTGTGGATTGGGCAGGAATCGGTAGCCCGAAAACCGGCGGAACCGGTACCAGCTTCGGCGCCAGTAGCGGCGGCGCCAGCGTTGGCGGCAGCAGCGGCGGCGGCGGCGGCAGTGGCGCGAGCAAGCTGAGGTTACAACCGTTGGACAGCAGCAAGTCGCCCTCTTCCGCCAGTCCATCCCCGCGCTTCCCCGTAGCCATTCCCTCCCCTTCCGCCGCCTCTCCGCTACCCGCGGGACCAATGCCTGGCTCGCGGAGCCTCCCCCCTGCCGCTTTCCCATATTCTGCTGGTGCGCCCCCGCTCTCCCCGCTTGGCCGCGCCGGCACTGCCGTAGTTCCCCGCCCAACCCACCGCCGCGCCATAAGCGCCGCGCAGTTGTCCCCGCGTGTGCCTTCCCCGTCTGCGCGCCTAGTGCGTCCGCCGAGCTCGCCTTCTGTCGCGGGGAAGGCGCCAGGTGCAGCAGCGCCCGTTAACGCCGCCGCCGCCGCAGGGGGAACCAGTCGCTCCGCGTCTGCATCCGCGTCCGTGCCAGCGGTCGCACGCTCTTCTCCCCGTGCGCGCATCGTGCAATCAGCAACGGCGCCTTCTTCTGCGGCACGCGAAGCTACGGCGGAGGATGGTGTCGCATATGCGGAGAGTACCTGCGCAACTGCGAATCGCGCGGGGAAGCCAACGCCGATGCTGAAGCCAGTGCCGCGGAGCATGAGCGCAGAACCCGCGCTTGCGCTTCCCGTGCTTGCGCATCCCCTGGGACAGGAGGGGCAGGGGGCGCAGGCAAAGCAGCATCATGTGGGGCAGCAGCAGCAGCAGCAGCAACAGCAGCAGCAGCAGCAGCAGCAGCAGCAGCAGCAGCAGCAGCAGCAGCAGCAGCAGCAGCACTTGCAAGGCAGCAGTCGCGAGCATGTGGGGAACTACCGCCGCGCGGCCCCCTCGCCTCTCGCGGTTCCTACGCGGCGCCGCAACAGCATGTCCAGCATGCCGCAGGGCGACGCAGCTTCAAATTCCGCGCGTGCCGGATTGGCTGCGGCGAATGGCGGCGTGCGTATCGGAAGCGCTAGGGGGCAGGGTTCACCAGGCGCAGGCGCATGGCCCGCGCGCAGCCCTGTGGGGACGGCTGGGGGAAGGTTGGAGGGAACTAGTGGCGCAGGTCGTACAGATGTAACTGGAGGGAATTTGATTTCGCAGCAGCCACGCGTCCGGGGGGGTGCAAAAGGGCCTGATGCTACTTCGCCTGAGCTTTCGCCTAACAGTGCTGCGGCCGTCGCAGTAGCAAGCGCTGCGATTGGTCGAGCGGGGGGAACGCTTTCGCTAAGCCTACCCACGCGAACAACCAACTCCGCCCAACCTCCCGCGCGGTTCACCCTCGGTTCCGCACCGAACAGCCCAGCCGAACGCTCGCGGCCCGGCCAGACCGAAGCTGCAGGCTCGACATCGACGCTCGCGAACGCAGCAGCTCGGTTGGGCGCAACGGCGAAGAATTTCACGAGTGGTGTTACAAGTGTAACAGGCAAATCAAAAGTCGGAATTTCAGGCTCCAATATAAATCCGTCAGACATGCTTTCTCCTCCCAGCCTTATAACCAAGCTCCCAACTGCCAGCGCTCCCAGAGTATCACCTCCCCCACTTGCTCCTAGCCCTCCCCGTTCCTCGCCTCCCCCAGTAGCACCCGCGCCAGCAGGAGATAGCTGCAAGGAGCAACAGGTGGGTTACAACGGCCAGTGTCTCTCACAGCAGCAGCAGCATTTGAAGCAGAGGCAGCAGGCGGCGAGCAGGAGAACCTACAGCGTGGATTTTGAATTCGGGAGAAGCAAATTCAGCAGCAGTAGCACCACCACCACAACCGCAAAAAGCACCAGCGCCAACAGCACCAGCAGCAGCGGAAGCAGCAGCGGCAGCAGCAGCAGCGCCAGCAGCACCAGCAGCAGCGGCGGCATCGCCAGCACCGGAAAGAGTCCTGTGAGGGCGAGTGGCAGGGGGGGAGCCGTGATTCTAACGAGCCCGTGCCCCAGCCCGTCCCGCGCACAGGTTGTGCTTATAGACGGAGTCCCCATGCCCCTCCGCAGCGCCCTCAAGAGCCCCAGCATCGACATCGGCCTTGGGAATACCGGGGTAAACCTTGGGAATACCGTGGGAAGGAGCTCTAGTGTTAGCCCTATTTTCCGCCATGCGTCGCCGCTGGTAGCGAAAGGGGGAGGCGGGGGGAGCAGTGGGGAGAAAGAGGGGAGCGAAGGGAAGGCGGGGAATGAGGGGAAGGAGGGGAAGGGAGGGAGGGTACTGCACCCCCAGGCGCAGAATAGTCCGAGGAGGGTGAGCTTTAGTGGGTATGTGGAAGTGCAGGAATTTGTGAGGGATAGCGAGGGGCGGGGGAGAGCGAGAGGGCGATAGGAAGGGGAAGGGGAGAACACGAGGGCGGTAGGGGAAGGTGAACTTCCGGATATCCAAGGTTCTTACTGGAGTGGAATGAAGTCCGAGGAGGGTGAGCTTTAGTGGGTATGTGGAGGTGCAGGAATATGTGAGGGAAGGCGAGGGGAGGGGGAGAACTAGGGGGCGTTAAGGAGGTGGGATTTCTGAGGAGCTTTATGTGAGGGGAGGGGGAGAGTGTGGGGAGGGGGAGAGGTGGGGAGGGGGAGAGGTGGGGAGGGGGAGAGGTGGGGAGGGGGAGAGGTGGGGAGGGGGTGAGTGAGGGGATGGTAGTGAGTGAGTAGGAAGTTACCCACTCATGAGTAAGTAGAGCGTTCACGTGAGCGAGTGGCATGGAGGGCCAGGTTTGGAGGGGCCAGGGATGGAGGGGCACGTTTGGAGGGGCAGGTTTGGAGGGCCAGGGTTGGAGGCTCAGGAGTGATATATCTGCCATGCAGTGAGAGGTGATGCAGAGAGAGGTGGTGCAGAGCTGTGGAGAGATGCTTTATGCCTTGTAGCTTGATGGCGATACAACTTCTGACAGTCTGAAGCCCAATGATCTGATTTCTGACAGTACCGTACGTCAGACAATGGCGCAAATGACAGTGTGATACCGTGATACCTGTGGTGCGGAGGAGTGCATTTGGTTATTGGCGCTCCTTTTATGTTTACCGTATCATCCTCCTCGTCTTGGACTCGGCCTAATGTGTCATGTTGGGTCATCTTCGTGCTGTTGAGCAGCGCACGCTTCTTTTTTTATCTTATCTCCCTTTTTTCCCCCTTCTTTAATTTGGAGGGGCAGTTGTTTTTAGTACATGTCTCCTGTCCCGTGCCTGCTTGCCAGTGCCCTGAGCAGTGCCTTGTTGATTTCCTTTTTTTTTTTCACAACTGATATTGATATAGATGGTACACAAGCCTTTTTCCTCTAAGGCACCGCACTTCACCACATTGTCTGTGGCACCAGGCGAATCACTGCATACACACACACACACCCCCTTGCATGCGTGACATGACATGCTGTATGACTGCAGCGCTGAGCTGACCAAGAGAGCAGGTTTTACTACAAGGCGTATTTTGCCACAAAGTAAAGCGCAAGTGGCAGCAGCCTCATCAATCCATGCACGAACGTCCCAACAGCAGCAGCCTTCCTCACACACCCCCTCGCATGCTGCGGCAGACTCCCCCGACCGCCCACAAGCTGCACTCTCAGCACCACACACGCCACCCACAGCGGCACCCCGTCCACCATACAGCACGCCCCGGTAACCGCTACAATATACCACGTCTCCCCCGTCGGCTGGGAGAAAAACAGGCTGATTCCGAGGAGTAAAGGCGGCCAGACGGCTAGTAGAGACGTCCACCATTCACGGCCTTTGCAGTTCCAGGTGCTTAGGAGAGTGAGGAGCTCGCAGAGGGAGCGCGCGAGGAGGTAGGATGCGATGGGGGTGGTGAGGGAGGTGGAGGGGGAGAAGAGGTAGAGGGCTGCTAGGAGGGAGGCGGATGAGAGGTCTGCAGAAGCGTAGCATGCTGCTTGCTTGCACTCTTTCCCCTGCTGTGATGGGGGAAAAGAGGAGGGGGGAATGGGGGAAGGAAGGGAGACAGCCAGGGAAAAAGGTGGGGGAGGGGCGGAGGGAGAGATGGATGGAGGGTGAGGAGCTCGCAGAGGGAGCGCGCGAGGAGGTAGGATGCGATGGGGGTGGTGAGGGAGGCGGAGGGAGAGAAGAGGTAGAGGGCTGCTAGGAGGGATGCTGTTGAGAGGTCTGCAGAAGCATGGCATGCTGCTTGCTTGCACTCTTTCCCCTGCTGTGATGGGGGGAGGGAGAGGGGATGGGGGAAGAGAGTGGGGAGGGTGGGGAGAAAAGTGGGGGCCAGAGGTAATAGGAGGCGATGTGAGTGGTGAGGGAGATACTAAGTTACGGAGCAATGAAGGGCCGTAGCAATGACAGCAGCATGAACGTACCAGGAGCAGCCAGAGCACGAAGCAGTAAGAACCCAGCACCACGCCTCTCCCTCCCAGCACACCCATAACCGCCAGCCACACAGTCCCGCTGGTTCCCTTAGCAGTCGTAGGTCCCTCAGTGACCATAGGAGCCCAGAACAGCAGAGAGAAGAGCACTAGTCCAGCAGCAGTAACCGCCATGGCTAGGAGGAGAAGCAGCCACACGTATTCCACCATTTTCCCCATGGGTATTCTTCCTGGTAACCCTGGGATGGCGAGGGTATCTTCCGGTTTCCACCTGTGGGTTCTTGAGCGAGTTTCTTTCCAGGTGCGCCCGTCATCCCAGTCCCCGAACCACTGGACCGTTTTGGATGGGTCCAGAACGATTTCCGAGCCTAGCAGTGGGTGCAGAGTGGTGGGATCCGGTGCAGCGCTGTTGTGTAGTGGTTCGCATGGGTGTTCGCATGGCTGTGGTGGGCGCTCACAGCTGGTGTGTAGCAGCTGCGGCCTCTGGTTCTTGATATAAGCTGCCTCGTTTGTGTCACAGGGCTCCATGAGAATACCAGCCTTATTGCCAGGGTAGGGTAGTAACGTCACAGGAGCACCCCAATCCACAGTAGTGTTGTGAGTGACCTGCCTAGCATTGACTGCAGCACTAGCAGCAGCAGGTGGGTCTATGCCCCTGCTATTCCTGCTGCTGTGGTTGGTGTTGCCACTGCTGCTCCCACCACCACTACTGCCACTGCTAATGTTATTGTTGTTGTTGCTGCCTCCCACACCAAGCCTGCTGCTTCTGCTGCCTCTGCTGCTTCGGTCGTTCACACTGGCGTTTCTGGCAGGGCTGTTGCTACCTGTGCTGCTTGCGCCTAGCAAATCCACATATTCTCGGCTCACTTCACCCATGCGTTCACAGCCACCCCTCCCAGATTGCCACGTGGCAGCTTCTCCCGGGCCTGGAGCAGATGTGATCGCTGACGTGGCGTCATCACTATCTGTGTTCATGGGTTCGTTTGTTCCACTCCCTCCCATGGTGGCCCATGCACCCTTTTCTGGGCTGATAGGATTTTGCCGGCTGCTGCTGATGCTGATGCTGCTGCTGCTGCGGCTTAGTGCCGATTTTGAGCGTTCTCCATCGATTCTCCCACCAACTCTCCCACCATTAACTGCTCTGCCGCCGCCGCCACTACTGCTACTGTCACCACCGTTTTCATCGACATCAGCATCATCATCATCACCATTTTGATTGTCTCCGCCGTCGTCGCCAGCGTAGCCGTTTTTCTCCTCGTCGCTGTCGTAGCAGTCGTGACTGTAACGAAACGGGCTGGCGTGCAGAAACGCGTACGGGTCCCCCTTCGCGGTCGCGCTCTGGCTCTGGGGAATGACGGCGGGCTGCGCCCAGGCGGAACGGGAGGCGGAGTAGCAGTGGAGATGCGCGGCCGGATGCGCGTAGGGGGCGGGGGAGGCGGAGTAATAGCTAGCGGAGGGGGAATAATGGAAGCGGTCTGCGGAACAGGGGAGAGGGGAACCAGAGGCGGAATAGGCGGCGGCGCGAGGGGAAGGCGACGCGGGGGAAATAGGCGCCGCGGCGGTGGTGAGCGGAAGATCGAGGCGGAAGGTCGAGCGGCGGAGAAAGGGATCCGCGGAAGGCTGGGCGGAGTCGAGGTATCGCGACATGAGCCACTGGTGCGTCTTGTCGTGACCCGCGCCCGACGCATCGGCGTCACTCACGGACACGGAACGCGCGTGAGATGTTAATTTGCTGGCAATAGCGGCGCGGCCGGCGACGCCGCTGCCTCCCTTTATGCGCTCAGCGGCTCCTGCCTCGCTTGGTGCACAGTCACCATTGATAGAAACCCTCGCGACCGCATGTCCCGGCGCATGTCCCGCCGAATGTCCCGTCGCGGCCCCGGCCGGCGCAAACCCGGATCCGTCGCTGTCGACTCGCGCCGTCACCGTAGCCATGCCTCGCGCGGCTCCCCGCGCCGAGTCTGCGCCTTCCGCGGTTCCAATCGCGACGCGCTGCTCAGCGCCCCTGTCGGTACTGCTGCCGCCGCCGCTGCCACTGCTGCTGCTGCTGCCTGCTTGCGGCGCGCCTTTTGCGCTGATCGCTTCTCGCGCCGCCAAAATTTGGATTATCATTTGCTCGGATTCGGGGGAGCCTAGATCCGAATACGACTCGCTATTGTCCGAATCCGAGTCGTACGCGTTAGAGTCATCTGAGGAGTCCTCGTCCTCGCTACAAGACTCGATCGTTACCGCCCACAGGGGAACCGAATTCCGCATCCCCGCCGTGCACCCTCCGCCGCTTCCGCCACGCGGGGGCCGCCAAAGCGGGGGGCGCCCCCCCGACGGCGCGATGCGCGCGATTGCGGGGAAGCATGAGCGCGGCTGAGGCGGCGCCAGCTTCGAGGCTGGAGCAGACCTAAAAAAACGATTCGGAAAAATGCGGCACGGGAGGATGCGATTCCGAGATAATTTGCCCACAAGATAGATCCAACGCCTTCTAGGACCGTGCCGAGGCGCTTTATATTCACTAATTAGTAGCGCCGTGCGCTGGAAAACAAAGATATCTTGAAGATACGCCGGAGACGTGAATGAGGCTTCCTGCTAACAAGCTTTTGGGTTGAATCCTAAGTACCTCCCGGCTTTATAACTCCCAAAAGCCCATCGTGAGAAGCACCTGGAAAGGAGCAACTGTCCAATGACTCGTCAAGAAAAGCGTCACTAACGGGACAGGAGGGACAAGCGGCGAGGGCGGGGGAAGGCGCAACTGAAGCGGCGGTGCCTGTGACACGGCATGAGAGAGTGGAGTTAACGGGATTCGCAGCTAATGAAATTTGAGAGCAAAAACGGAAGCAGGAGTGTGAATTAGGCGTGATGTCTACTACTCCATTAGGCTTGGTGTGAATTGGGGGTGGAGAGAGCAGCAGCAGAAATGGCACAGCTCGCGCCGCAGTTCGTTCCTTTACTTTTGCAAATGTTGTGGGCAGGGGAAATGTCTGAAAACCGCGTTGCTTTCGTCAATTCGACGAGCCGCTCACGACATTGTGACGCGGTTTGAAGGAAGAAGAGAGGATTTCAGGGGTTTACCGACACAGCCAGCATCAGGTGACTGCGGGCAGAATCAAAGTTCTCAGGGACGAAATTCAGAAGTCCGTGATATTTTTTTTCGTCCTGCCACAAAATATGCACAACGTCAACTGCCTGCTGTCCTCCATATACAACCATCTTCGCGCAAGTGCTGAGTGGACTTACGAGTTAGCCCAACGTAAGAGACATGTTTCAGAAAAATATGCGGAAATGAGAAAAGGTTTTCAGTGAAAGGTGATCTCCACAAACCGAGCACTTAACCAATGCAAGAGATGCATGTACAAAATACACCAGATAAAAATGTACAGTCCTTAACAAGAAAATGTACACATAGTACTACGAAATTTACCTTACAAGTGCATCCTCACCAAAACTTACGGTAGGAGGAATACCTATCCGAACAAAATCTCCTTAGTCATCTACACCTTACGGCAAATCCACACTGCTCACACTGTCCTGCTTCTGCGAGTTACTCAACAAATGATGGATTAACCAAAGCTTCGAGTGGTTAGCTTCGTCTGTGTCCCGAGCATCCAAGCACCCATCCTCATATCCCTCATCATGCACACCACCTTCGACACTGGTCTTAGCCTCTGCCTGCTGCTGCTGTGGTTGTTGAGCCTCCCTGCTGCTGGTGCTGCTGCTGCTGCTGCTGCTGCTGGTATTCTACTTCCAAGGAGCAACCCAGGCTGGCGGCCAAAAAGGGGAGGAGGTGAGTGGGGGTATTGTAGGACGAGAGAAATGTGGGGGTAATTGGGGAGTTGCTTCTTGGAGTGGTGGTTTTTGGGATGGTGCTCTTAGGGGTTGTGATTTGAGGAGTGGTGCTTTTAGGAGTGGTGCTTTTAAAAGTTGTGCCCCAGCCACTCCTGCTCCCAATCCCTCTCCCGGTCTTTGACCCAAGCCCTGCTCCCATGCGAGGGGTTATCTGACTGGCCGTGGTTCCAGATTTCTCATAGTAAGCAGCCAGGGCTTCCGGCGTCATGATTGGCTTGGGGGACATGCCACGTGGCAGCTTCCTATTGGCTGCTGGGCCTGGTGTCAGGGCCGGCGTCGGCCGTGCTCCGCCCGCTGCTGAAGATGCTGCTAGTTTAAATGATGAGCGCCCCATATAGTCACGCGCGGACATAGCACTACGTTGCAACAGCGCACGCCCGATATAATTACGCCTCTCCCTCTCCCCCTCTCCCGCCCCCTCCTCCTCTTCCTCCCCGTCCTCCTCTTCCTCGTCCTCTTCATCATTGGAAGTATCCAAAGGAATCGCCACCCTTAAAGCCCTACCGCCGCCCCAACGCTTCCCTGCATCCAACCCTACAGGACCGGCTAACACGGCACCCTCACTGCTGTTTTCTGCCTGCAAGAGAAGCTGCTGCAGCTGAACAGTTGGGCCTGTAAGTCCCGGCTCCTTCTCCTCCCCAACCTCCTCACGCTTCTTTGCCTCATCACCCTTTTTTGTCTCTCCCACCTCCTCAGATTTTTCACCCTTTTTGGCCTTGGTCGTGCTCCCTTCCTTCTTCTGCTTCTTCTTCTCTTTCACCCCACCTTCCTTTGCCTGCTGCCGTAAACTCTCCCCACTCACCCCCTCACCCACTCCGTCGCTCACTCCCTCACTCTCATTTCGTGGATTGAGCATGTGTGGCCCATTCACTTCTGCTCCCTCGCCTTCCTTCCATCCTGCTTTCTCCTTCTCCTTCTCCTTCTTCTTCTTACCGGACTTGCTCCCCTTCTTTCCAACCTCTTTAACCTTGTTCCCCTCAACACTGTCCCCCTCACCCTCGCTCTCCTTCCTGCCATTCGTCTCCTTCCTTCTTTTAGCCTGCTGCTTCGTCTCCTTCCTTCTTTTAGCCTGCCTTTTAGCCAGTTTCGTTGCTCCGTCGTGCCTGCTGCTGCCTGCCTCGTGCTCGCTCTCATTTGATACATCACCACCATCACCACCATCAGCACCATCAGCAGCGGCACCACCACCAGCATCACCATCAGCATCACCACCACCATCAAGATATGCTGCACCATTAGCACCAGCAACATCACCACCAGCATCACCAGCATCACCAGCAGCATCACCAGCAGCATCACCAGCATCACAACCACTCTCGTCCAAATCGAGCACTCTGTATGCATATCCCGACCCAATAGTCCTTGACCGTAGCAGCTGCACCAACGGCACCTCCTCCTCCTCCTCCTCCTCCTCCTCCTCCTCCTCCTCCTCCTCCTCCTCCTCCTCCTCCTCCTCCTCCTCCTCCTCCTCCTCCTCCTCCTCCTCCTCCTCCTCCTCCTCCTCCTCCTCCTCCTCCTCCTCCTCCTCCTCCTCCTCCTCCTCCTCCTTCCTTTCCCCTTCCCCCTCCACTTCATCCCCCCATTCCTCTCCAGTAAACCCATGACCCTCACTGCCCTTCCTCCCTTTCTTGCCATCAGCAGCACACTTGGTACCTGCAGCAGGGGAGAGAGGTTCTTTCCATGAGCTCACCCCATCAGTGGCAATCGCTTTCGATCGACGAAATACTGCTTCTGCTTCTGCTTCTGCTTCTGCTTCTGCTTCTGCTTCTGCTTCTGCTTCAGCTGCTGTTGCTACTGGGCCCCCACACTCACTCCTAGACACCCCATACCCATTCTGTGTCCATTGCACATCAAAATCACGCAACCCATATTCATTCCTCGTCTCCTCATCCCGGAACCCTAACCGCCACCCCCCCCCTCCTCTCCTCGCCCTCTTTTCTGCTTCCCCACTTCCTCCTCCTCCTCCTCCCCCACTTCCTCCTCCTCCGCTTCCCCACCCTCCTCTCCACCCAGCCCCTCCCTCTCCTCGTGGTGTCACAGCCAGCAGGGCAGCAGCCGTCACTTTACCCCCCACTGCCCTTCCCCTCCCCTCCGCCTTAGGAGACTTCAGACTCGTGTATGAGTCTACATAAGCCCCCGCCCCCCCACTCCCCCCCAGCCTCGCACTTCCTCCCAACCTACCGCTGCCCCCCAACCCTCCACTTCCCCCAGTCCTCCCACTCCCCTGCCTCCCGCTCCCACCCAACCCTCCACTCCCCCCGATCCTCCCACTCCCCCCGAACCCACCACTTCCCCCCGTTGAATTGGTGGAGGTAGAGAGAGGAGGGGAGTGAGAGGGGGAGAGGGAGGGAGAGTGCGAGGGAGAGAGTGTGGATGTGCCAGCAGAGAGATCAACAAGCTGGGAAAAATCCGTTAGAAGCAGCTGCGATACAAGGTCCTCACTCATACTCCTCTGATGCAGCCCGCGGCGACGCACACACCGTCGCTGCTGCCGGTGCTGCTGGTGCTGCTGGTGCTGCTTCCGGTGCTGCTTGCTGCTCATTCTCCCTGTGGCTGCAGCTGCTGCGGTCTGTGCGCGGATTTTTTCGGCTTCGGCTGCTGCTGCTTCTGCTTCTTCTGCCCGTGCCTCTCGTAACATTGTGATTGACCTTAGGAGGTATTTACCTTTGTTTGCTAGCAGTTCGGCTTGCCGCGTTGACTCGTCTTTCCAAACACCACCAGCAGCAGCACCAGTACCAGCAGCAGCAGCAGCATCAACTGCACCTGACTGCTCCACAGCCCCTGATACCGCGCCGCACCTGCTTGCACCGCTCTCCACCGAACCGGCAGCAACAGCACCAGCAACACTCGTGGCACCAGCAGCAGACACGCCGTTAGCAGCAGAGGCTGTAGCAGCAGCTGCTTCCTCTCCTCCCACCCCACTTCCCCCACTCCCTCCACTTCCCTCCCCGCCACTCCCTGCTCCCACACCCATCCCCTGCTTCACCCCCCCCAACCGAGCCATCTGCTTTCGCTTTTCCAGTCGTTCCACAAATTGCTGCCGCTGCTTCCGCGCCCGTTCTGCCAGCTCCCTCCCCCTCTCCCTCACTCTCTCCTTCTCCCTCTCCTCCTCACTCATTTCCACTGCTGCTGCGCCTCCTGCTCCTGCTACTCCATCCCTTTTCCCTGCATCACCACCATCACCACCATCACCACCATCACCACCCCCAGTTTCAACTGCTGCTGCTGCAGCCCCCACTGCTGCCTTATTCTGGTTCAATCCAGAAACAACAGCAGCAGCAGCTGCTGATGATAATGCTGATGCTGATGCTGAATGGTTTGATTCAAACACACCGCCAGCAGCCACTGCAACTGCTCCTGCTGCTACTGCTGCTGCTGCTGCTCCTGCTGTTACTGCTGCTGCTGCTCCTGCTGCTACTGATGCTGCTGCTGTTGCAAATGCTCCCGCTGCTGCTGTTGCTCCTGCTGCTGCTGCTGCTGCTGCTGCCTCCCCTGATGCTGCTTTTCTTCCCCACCACAACCCCTCACCAGCAGCGGACGTACCATAAGCAGCACCCTTATAAGCGGCCTCGCCAGAAGCGGCCATACTGTACCCCTTATAAGCGTCTTCGCTAGCTGCACTGGCTAGACTTGACGTGCTTCTGGGCCTGGTTAGCAGCGCTTGTGGCATTTTAGCAGCAGGAGCCACGGCAGGGGGAAGGGGAGAACGGGCAGGAGTGGGAAGAGGAGGGAGAGGAGAGAGGGGAGGAGAAGGACGAGGAGGGAGAGGAGAACGGGGAGGAGAAGGAACAGCGAAGAGGGGATGAGGAGGAAGGGGGGAACGAGCAGGAGAGGGAAGGGGGTGGAGAGGAGAGAGGGGAGGAGCCCCTGTTGGGTCTGTAGCATGATCATCAGCAGCAGCTGTAGCACCATAACTGCAAGCATTGCCAGAAGTAGTAGTGGTAGTAGCAGCAGTATCAGTAACAGCAGTATCAGTAACAGCAGTATCAGTAACAGCAGTATCAGTAACAGCAGTATCAGTAACAGCAGTATCAGTAACAGCAGTGGCAGCAGTGGCAGTAGTGGCAGCAGAGGCAGTAGCAGCGGTAGTAGTAGCAGCAGTATCAGTAACAGCAGTATCAGTAACAGCAGTATCAGTAACAGCAGTATCAGTAACAGCAGTATCAGTAACAGCAGTAGCAGTAGCAGCATTAGCAGCAGCAGCAGAAGTACCAGCGACGGCAGCAGAAGCAAGGTTCAGAGGAAGCTTCCCTTCCCTGTGCATCTTCCTCCTCACCGCAAACCTTATTTCCTCCAGAAGCTTCCGAGCCTCCTCACTCTCCTCACTCTCCTCCTCACTTTCCTCCTTTCTTCCCTCCTTCTCAGTTTCACTCCTCTCTCCATCTTTTCCTCCTCCCACATTCCCTTGCACATACTCTGCAGCTCTATCCTTAAGACTTTCATTGACACCCTCTTTCTCCTCTTCCTCTTCACTCTCCTCCTGCTCCTCCCGTTCTTCCTCACTTTCCTCCCCTTCCTCACTCCATTCTTCCTCACTCTCACCTTCCTCCTCACTCTCCTCCTCCTCTTCACTCCCCTCCTCCTCTTCACTCGCCTCCTCCACTTCACTCTCCTCCTCCTCATCACTCTCCTCACCCTCTGCCACCACTTTCATATCCTTCCCCCCATCCTCCTTTTCGTCTTCTCTTCCAATACGTCCCCCACATGCATTCATCGCTCCTTGCCTTGCCTCCTTTAATTCCTCTCCCACCACTGCTCCCTCTTTCATCTTCTGAGGCACCTCAAAAGCAATCATCGCTACTTTCCTTGCTTCCTCTCCCACCGCCGCTCCCTCCTTCACCCCTCCCATTACTCCCATCCCCAACCCCACCCCCACTTCCTCTTCTTTCTCCTCTCTGATCTCCTTCCCTCCATCCTCCTCCTTCATTCCTCTCACATTTCCTCCCCCACTAGCGTTCACCTCCGTTGCTCCCTCCTTCACCCCTGGCTCACTCCCCCCATTCTCCTCCTTTTCCATTCTTTTTACTTCCTTCTCCCCTCCCTCACTCCCCCCATCCTCCTCCCTTTCCACCCCTACTAATCCTTCGTTCACCTCTCCCTCACTCCCCCTATCCTCCTCCTCTCTCGCTCCTCCTGTTCCTCTTACAATCACCTCCACCCCCGTCTGCTCCCCTTCAATAGAGTCACACGTCAACCCCTCGCGTTTCGAGCCACCCAACTCAATAAAGTCACACTCCGCAATAGAACCCCCACGCTCCGAACCACCCAAATCCGAAATACTCACATAATCACACTCCCCCAACTCCCCTCCTTTCAACGACCCCAGATCCGAAATACTCACATAGTCACACTCGCCAGACTTCCCACGCTCAGAACGACCTGCCACATCAGCATCTCGCGTATAGTCACACTCAACAGACTTTCGAGGACCCTCAAAAGCGTCTTCCGTATAGTCACTCTGCACAGACTCACACGCCGACCCTCTTCTCCTAGACAAAGCACGAGCCATGCTTCGGCGAGCTATCCTGCTCGGCCCGCTCCGTCCACTGGCCCCCCCGCTCCATCCGCTCTGGCTGTTCAGGCTGTCGCTCTGGCCGTTGCCTTGGCTGTTCAGGCTGTCGCTCTGGCCGTTGCCTTGGCTGTTCAGGCTGTCGCTCTGGCCGTTGCCTTGGCTGTTCAGGCTGTCGCTCTGGCCGTTGCCTTGGCTGTTCAGGCTGTCGCTCTGGCCGTTGCCTTGGCCGCTCGGACCGCTCGGGCCGCTATGGCTATTCAGGCTGCTCCCACTGAAACTCCTACTCATGCCCTGATCCAACCCCGCGCCCACGCTACCATCTGCAACACCACCCGTGCTCTCGCGAGTAGCCCTGCTGAAGCTGCTCCGGCTGTTCCTGCGTGCCCTAATAAAACCCCTCCTTGTCTTTTCACCACCAGTAATATCTCCATCCACCCCCCCGCCCATGCTGCTTCCAGAAATGCTGCTTGTGCTCCCACGACTTTCCGTACTCGTGTGCTGACTTACCCTTTCGCCCGTGCTCCCATCTACAACACAAGGAGTGCCATTGTTACTCATGCTCTCACCAGTAACGCTACTCCCTCCCTCCTCTTCCCTAACCTCCGCACTATTCCCTCCCTCCCCACCCAACTCTTTCTCTTCCCCTCTCCCAACCTCCACCCCAACATCTTCTCTGCTCCCACCTTTCCCTTGCTCTTCCCTGTGCTCTTCCCCCCCTGTCTTCCCTTCACTACAATCACCCTCCTCCTCAATCTCCCTAAAACTCCCTTTGCTCCCCCAGCTGCCCCTGCTCCCCCTGCTCCCCCAGACCCTACTTCCCCCCCTGCCCGCGCCCTCCGCCCCGCGCCCTTCGTTATTGTCACACTCCGGCACAGAGGGCACCTGGGAGATGCCTTCTAGGCTCTTCCTGCGGTGCGCCCTCCGCATATAAGCACGCGTGGGCACCTGGATGTGCGTCCTGGGGGATGGGAGAACCCCACCTGCTGCTGCTGCTGCTGCTGCTGCTGGTGTTGGTGGTGGTGCTGCTGCTGCTGGTGTTGGTGGTGGTGGTGGTGCTGCTGCTGCTGCTTCTGCTCCCTCTCCTGCCCCTGCCTCCGTCCCCTCTCCTGCTCGTGCTTCTATGACTACGCCTGCAGCTGCACCTGCTCCTGCGGCCATGTCTGCTGCTGCTGCTGCAGGGGGATCAATCCCACCACCCTCTGCCACCCCAGCCAACGGCCCCCCACTCTGTGCGGTAACGGGGACGTCTATAGGGAAGAGAAAGTCCCTCGTTCGGCCCCTCTCATGCCTCCCCCTCATCCTCGCCCCTCTCTCCTTGCCTCCGCCATCCCCAGCAGCGGGAGCAACAGGAGACGGAGCAGCAGCAGCAGCAGTAGCAGCAGCCGCAGGGGCAGCAGCAGCAGCAGGTGCGGCAGCAGCAGGAGGAGCACCAGTCAGCTTTTTGCTGTCTCCTCCCAAGCCCCTTCTTGCAGCATTCAAAGGAGGAACTACCAGAATAGGTGGAGAAATCTCTTGCTCCTCCTCCTCACTCTCCCCCTCCTCTTCCTCATCCCTTTCCTCCTCTTCCTCCTCATCCCTCCACCCTCCACTCTCCAGCCGTCCACCCGGCGTCTTGGCGCCACGTGACTGTAAAGAATGTGACTGTAACGAGTGAGACTGTAACGAGTGTGACTGTAAAGCTTGAAGACTCGGTGACTGTATCGGCTTACCATGAGACGAGCCATGACAGGTTTCCGCGTGGGCCCTGCCCGAATCCCCCCATATAGTCACATGGGCGTGGAAGGTTGGGGTGGGCGGCAGCAGTCGGCGTATGCTAGCCGCAATGCCACCGCCATCCTTCTTCCTGCTGCCGTCCTTTTTCCCATCCTTCATGTTGCTTGCTGTGTTACGACTTGCGTGTGTGTTACCAGATGCCTTACCACTTATGTTGCTGTGTGAATCACACGATAACTCATTGGTTGTGCTGCTGTTGCTGCTGCTGCGGCTGTAGCTGCGGCTGCTGTGGCTGCTGCTCTTGCCCATGCCTCTGACGTCAGCGCTAGTGCCGCTGCCGCTGCCGCTGCCGCTGCTGCTGTGGCTCACACTGCCCCCAGAAGCTGCACGTTGCATGCGACCATCCATCCTCGCTATAGTGGCATTCCTGCCTTCCACCAACACTTTCCCAACTTTCGCATCACCACTACAATGAAAATCACCATGGCGAGTACCAAAAAATCCACCGTCATTATATTTTTCAAATACCGGAGTCCACAGTCGCTCAAGAGCCTCAGGTGTTGGCAAAGCTCCGCTCTTGCTGCTGCTACTGCTGCTTCCATTTTCACTACCATCATCTGGCATTTTGAAAAATTCGTCACTGTACATCCCCGTGCACTGTACACCGTTCGTGAAACCGTCTCTATCGAGGTTCTTCCAAACCGCGTCCGGAGATACCGAGACTCCAAGGTTCGGCAAATCGACGTGCAGGAACGGCGCGGGGGCTGGAAGCTCGTCGTGCATGATTTGCCACGATTGGTGCGCGATCGTCAGCTCCTCGATCGCGCGTTCGCGACCCCATGCCCGTTCGTCAAACGCCAACCATCGCCGCTGGTAACCAGCTTCGCCTTCGCTCGAAGTCACAGATTTGTTTTTCCCACCATTTCTTGAAGCATGTACACCGCAGCACGTTTTTATCCACCGTTTGATTCGCTCCAATTCTCCCGGCATCTCCCACGCGAGATCTTCTACGTCATTCAGTACGTGCGACCGCGGGTCGGCAAGCGATATCGCCAAAATTGCCCACGACATCACGCGACGTCGCCCAGGTGATTCGACGCTGGACCCACGCGGCGACGGCCCACGCTCGTGCGACGTCGCCGACGTCGCGAACCCGTCGCAGGACTCGGCTACTACGGCAATCGCGCCGAGCGGCTTTACCGCGTACAGCTGTCCCGTCTCCCCCTGCTGCGCGCCGATTTCAATCACCTCCACGGGAGTCCCGCTCGGCGGAATCTCCGTTCCCCAAGACTCCCTTCCGCTTCCGCTTCCGCCTCTACCTCCGCCGTCGCCGCTGCTGTAGCCTGGCGACTCGGGATCCTGCCACGTCTCCGGCGCAATCCCAAGGTTCCACGGCGTCTCCGTCGCGAATTGTGCCGTCGCGAGCTTTCCGCCTGCCCCGCCGCAGTCGCCACCGCCGGCGGCGCAAGCCACGGGACGAAGCGGGTCGAAATCCTCATCCGCGGAAACCTCGATGCGCGCGGCGGAGCCGCGCGGCGTGAGGCAGAGGACATGATAGAAGCCGTGCTTGGAGTGTAAGGGGAAATCGTGCCACGGGGAAAACGGCCGCGCGGAAGGATCGAAGAAGAGCCATCTATAGGCGGGAGAACCGACGGTTCCGAACTCGACGACGGACCATCCGTCAGCGAGAAAATGGCGATTCATGAGTGTAGCGGATGCAAATAGCGTCCTAGAGATTTAAACAACGATTCATGGTAGAAGTTCTAACTGCTCGCGTCTAACTCGAGAAGTGGTCGTGGTCTATCCCGCTGGAGGTATCCGATGCTTTCACAAAACATAAAAAAGTCATCCCCGAGGTCCCAAAGCTGCTGTCAATTCCGTGCACGAAACTGGTTTTTCTCGAATCACCACCATCACCACTTCCAACACCTTCCCCTATCCCCACCCACACTGCTCGTGCGTGCACGTCCTGACCGAGCCCAAGTCACTTCCCAAGTTGGGAAGAAAGGAAGACAGACAACCTTTTTTTTCTGTGCTGGACCACCCTGCGATCCGAAAAAATCCCCAACCAGTGCCGGCGAGTTCTGCCAGCCCCCCAGAAGGGGGTTTCGTACTGCTCATCTGGGTATCGATACCCAGCGAGGCGTGTAAATAAGTGGGTAGGCCGATTACGATCGACAGCCAGGGTATACCAGAGGAGGTTTCCCCTACAACCTTGATCCCAACCGCCAACTAAGGGATGTTTTTTTTTTTTTCCTACAAATTCCATTGACAAATACCTTTCAAACGAGGGTGTAGCCGGAAAGCCCTGGATTTGGTGGAACTGGAACAGAAAATCCCCGTAATGTGCAGAGAGAACAAATATAAACACTTAGCAAAACGGCCCTTGCTTGCAGGGAGAGGTTGAGCTTCAACTGACAAACCCAAACCAACCATAACCTTCCTCTTTTGTCAACCCATTGGTGCACGAACCAGCTTGGCTTGGACACTCCCCTCCTAACCTGAAACCTCTCGCTCTGACATCGCAATGCCGGAATGGAGCACTGCAGTTCGCCTTGAAAGTTGAAATGGAACCTGTTTGTGGTGTCGAGGACAGTGCGGTGTGTGAGTACTGTAGAGGTGTTTGCGAAGGTTGGAGGGGGGATTGAGTGTGTACAGTAGCCTTATTCCCCAGCTGTGCTGGATGGGGCAGAGCACAGTGCGACTCGGTTGCTCAGAAACACATTTGTCGTCATTATAGGCGTTGCTTCACATAATCAAAGTTTGTCGTGTACACCCTGTTTCGCGCTAGCAGAGCATCTGGTTGCAGAACATGCACAGGTTGTAGAACGTCACCACGTTTGAAATGGTCTTATCACCGACGGTACAAGCACATTCACAAGAAAGCGGTTAGCTAGGATGCTGCATGGTAAAGAACATTAACCAAGCGTTTCAAAGCGGTTGAAAAGGGTATACAGCGATAAAGAAAAATTTTGCCCCCAGTACCACTCCGTCAGCTGGTGCGGCTTTGCCCGCAGGTTTCAGCCATACGGTTTATGGCACCTGACCGCACTGTAGCAGCGAATCGCGCAAGGTGAGAGGGTCGAGAAACAGGGTGTATTACCTGCCATAGTCTCCTAGTTCACGAACCGCGGTGCAAGAGGAGCACCCACGTTCGGCCAATGCAGTGTCGGTCAATGAGAGACGGGCAGTGGAGACGACTTTTTGTGAGCCACGTCAGCACAGGTGGAGCCCCTTGTCATATCCTCGAGCGGTCCTGATAGCACACGACTGCACAGTGGAAC